TACATAAGTCTGTAAGGATTCTATGATTCTGTGTAAAATAATCAAAAACTTGATTTATAATTCTGTGTAAAATAAATGATTTGATTTCTGAATCTGCTGTGTAGGAACCTACAAACTAGTGTTCCATCAAGTACAGCAATGCATTTAGCAGCACTCACATATATATAATCATAATGTTTCCATCAGAATACGATAAAAAGGAAACATATTTCTGTTTTTTATCTAAATAATGCGTTTTGTTTCCTTACAATTAAGTGCATGGATATCTCTATGTAGGTAGTTTTTCCTAATCTTATTTACCCTAAAATATTGTAATGTTGTTTAGTTTGCCAGAGGAATCTGTTGAAATTTAACATTCAAGTGAATCTGTTTATCAATATCAGGTGAATATCCCCCATCAGTATAGGATGAAATCCAATCAATTTTGCAGAGAGAAATCACTAGATGCAAGGCGAGCTCTCTAAATGGCATTAATCAATTACCATGCTACACAGTCTCAGAGCTGAGGAAGGTCGCATCCTACCTTAACGTAGATGGAATATTGCTTTAAACAGGAACCCTTTACACTTCTATTATACTATGTTCATTGCTTGCTGTGAATTGTCTGTGTAAATATATTGTGATGTTATATAGAGTGTATGTAGCATTATGACACAATAGAGAATATGGCAGTGTATGATAGTTTTGCATACATTAGGTTTCAATAACATTAGCCCTTATATCCAGTCATGATAGTCTCCAATGTGAAATATGGATTTTCTTGAAGCTCTTTGGTTAAACAAGCTTGGCTGTTTGGTTGTTCAGTGTTAGTGATGGGGTTGTCTCCTGTAAAACATAGGTTTGTAATATAACCTGTTTGTGGTGGGCAAAAATGTACAGCTTAGCAGTGGTGGGGTTACGTTGTTACCCAGTAATATTGATCATGAGTTTATCTTATTAATGATGGGTTTGGACCCTAAAGGGAAAGGGAATTTGTTGTTTATTGTCACCTCTCGACAGTGAAAAAGGGAAAAATTGTTAACAAAATTTATAAAAAGTTTGTGAACTGAGCATTTCACAAGTATCTAAAGAATTAAACTATGCTTCACCTCAATTCTGTATCGTTAGAAAATTGGACATTACTTAACAGGCAATGTCTGTTAATAAGCTGTCATAAATTTAATGCTGTTCAAAAGAATTATAAACAAATGCTTTTTCATTGAATTGCTACAAGTCCACCCTTTGACTTTGTTAGAATTTGGTATGTGTCGGTCCTTTGGGCTTATTGCTTTCTAAATTACATTGTCAGTTTATTATAAAACACACTTTACAAGTATGGATGGCATACTGTTTACATAATGTTGGTCAGATTTTGCTGAATACATGCAGTAATCTTATTTTAGTGCTTTTTGCTCCAAAAATATTATGGCAAAATATTGTCACACTAAATGGAGTTTCTATATTATGTTTATATAGAAGTTGATGGTGTCATATCAAGTATGTTTACGATATAGAACATTATGCTAGTGCTCATGTGTGTATTTTACAGGTTGTGATATACACATTTAAATCTTTACCCAATTCATCAATTGAAAGGGTAGTTTTTATTGGTTGAGAGATTTGTTATGTGGAGTTACTGGTCTGTGACATCATGATTTTATGGTTGATTGGTGTTAATGGGTTTGAATGTTCCCTAAATAGATTCTGGTCGAGACAGACACAACAGCAGCCCTGGGCTCCTTGATGGAGAAAAAACATTGGCATTCTGTGAGCGTAGGACAGGACATCACAAGTACAATAATCAATTGATTGATGTTCGCCGAGCCATATTAATTATTAACGCTTTTGTTGGAATGTTGTTCTTGTAGGAACGCTGGCCACAAGACATAAGACTTTAGTTGCATCAATAACCTACGCTTTACTATAGACCTGCTGTATACTTATCACTGTTTTGTTAGTAGACCAGGTCAGTACTGGAAACGGTGCTGGGGACAACATCAGACATAGATAGCCTCCATTGATCACGAGAGTCAATTGGCATTGGGATACATAAGACATTGAGGGTTAGACATGGACACAACTAGGCATGGATCAGCTCTAGGGCTAGTATGCAGTAGGGGAAACTAGACATTGAGGGTTGTACATTGACACAACCAGGCATGGATCAGCTCTAGGGCTAGTATGCAGTAGGGGAAACTAGACATTGAGGGCTGTACATGGACACACAAACAGGCATAGATCAGCTGTAGGGTTAACAGTAGGGGAAACTAGACATTGAGGGTTGTACATTGACACAATCAGGTATGGATCAGCTCTAGGGCTAGTATGCAGTAGGGGAAACTAGACATTGAGGGTTGTACATTGACACAAACAGGCATGGACCAGCTTTAGGGTTAACAGTAGGGGAAACTAGACATCGAGGGTTGTACATGGACACAAACAGGTATGGATCAGCTCTAGGGCTAGTATGCAGTAGGAGAAACCAGACATTGAGGGTTGTACAAGGACAAAATCAGGCATGGATCAGCTCTAGGGTTACTTGGCAGTATGCGGGAAACAGATATCGAGGGTTATACATTCACACAAGCAGGCATGGATCAGCTGTAGGGTTAACAGTTGGGGAAACCAGACATTGAGGGTTATACATTCACACAAACAGGCATGGACCAGCTCGAGGGTCAGTGGGCTGTTTGTGGCACTATAGCTATCTAGTTATCCACCTCAGTGAGAACAGCTTTCAACGGCCTATCTAAATATTATTTAGCTTGTTTATGGATGCAAAAGTTAAACACGGAACTACTTTTGCTCTTATGACCTCAGTTATTATCTCATAAGTTCCTAATGAAAATGGCTGTTTGTTCAAATGTTGACCTCTTAACAACACAACTTCAGGAGGTTATATTTAACAGGAAGTAAAGTGTATATAAAGTGAAATAGACAAGTGTCTATAGATTAATATGTAGATCACTGTTACTTACAGTTTGACACTACATTGATACACCTATAAGATCAACTCTGATTAGGTCCCTGGAAAATTAAGAAATTCTTCACCATTCAAATATCAAATATGAAATTGAACGCTGATACAAGTTTTATTTATTTGATGAAAACTGTGTGAGTGTGACATCATTTCATTCATATGTAGACCTGATGTGACAATAGGCTATATTACATTGATGTAATACACAAAAATGTACAGTTTTATTCACTGAATAAGATGGCAAGATTTGTAACAACGGGGCAGCTATTTGAGTTTTAGTGTTCACTAAGATATTACGTTTTTAAAATTCATAAAAGTGTTGACAAAACAAATGGAGGGGAACTTTAACATGAGTTGTTTAGATACAAAGTGTAAAAGCCAGTTAAAGTTAACATATATAATAACTAAGCCTTTTCTACAGCTTACACCTGAGAGAAAACACCAAGTGAAGATTTGAACAAAGGCTGTTATCGTAAATGCAATACTCTTTAAGAAATGGTTGATTTATTTAGTACATTATAAGTAGTACATCACTTTGTGTTATTAACTTTTTTGTGAGTTAGCAGCAGAATTCCATGTTTGATGCATGCTGTGTTGAGATAATTGTACCTTATACAGATCAGCTACCAGTACAATGTACACATACATTTATTCCTAGATTGGTGTAAATTCACTATTTATTTTCATTTCAATCCTGAGAGAATCATCAACTATTTATAACAATATTTTTGGAAATTTTCCCAGAATCTTACTTTATGCAAACTCTGTTATGCAAAATCTGTCTGAAATTTAGGGACCAACACTGCTGTATATTGAGATTTATTTGAATTCCATTGATTGATATGGATTAAGCTTGCAAGATTTGCTGCCAGGAAATTACCACTATCTATCACTTTCTATGGAAGAAATTATTGCGACTTGATCACCCCTTATCACAATAGTAGGATGCATGATGTATGTATCAATGTCACAGAAAAGCTTGGAATTGAGATTTTAGCTGGTTATTGTAGTGGCGAAGTCAACTTTACTTTGCAACAAGTTCGGTGTAAAATTAGTGTATTAGTACAAGTCAGAAAGTGTTTTCTTGTCAGACCTATGAAATGTTAACACGCTATCTTGTATAGGGAAGAGATGAACTATAGAGAATCAGGATAAAGTTAGTGTTAGATATCCTAATGTTACATAATTGAACAGATATTGTTTACCGATCTTTCTCTGCTGATAACGGGGTAATTAAAGGCATTGATTTTGTATGGTTGTAACAAGTAAAGAGCTGATAATAGTTCTGCAAAACTTGCTACTCTTCTGACTGCTGCAGTGATGGAGAGATAAAGTATAAGGATTTATGAACATTTTCAGAATGTTGATGCTGCTTGATAAATACCCAAACACCTGAGCCATTTTTGTTTTCTAGGTCCTGCTGTTCTTAAACTCAACAACCATAGCTTGTGTGTGTATTACAGTGTAAAATAAAAACTTTAATGTATCCTAAAACATACATCACATAACTGATACCTTTTTATTCTCAAAGGAATTTATGGAAATTTATCACACAAGATGAAATGCTTAAAGATATGTATTATAGTTTGTTAATTGTGTTACTGGTCGGAAGAGAATGCACAATGTCAGAGGTCATGATCAGTAGCTGTAGAGTAAATACAAGGTCAGAGGTCAGTGGAGAGTATACAAGGTCACAGGTCAGTAATTGTAGATGAAATACAAGGTGAGACATCTTTTGAGAAAGTATAAGGATGGAGGTTATTAGTCTAGAGAAAATACAAGGTCAGAAGTCAGTGGAGGATGTACAAGGTCAAAAGTTACTGGCTATAAAGAAAATTCAAGGTTAGAAGTCAGTTGATATGTACAGGGTCAGAGGTTAGTAGCTATAGAGATAAGACAAGGTCAGAAGAACATTTAAGTTTATCTATCAGCAGTTGTCGAAAACATATGAAGTAAGGGGTTAGTAGAAAATGTACAATGTTGTAATATTCTATTTTGCTGAAGTTGAAACTGTCTGAAATAAAGACTGTTATTTCTACAGAGACTTCTTGCCCAGAGGAAATGGAATTGTTACCAGGAGACCCTTGGTCTTACAGCTTATCAATGGTAAAACAGGTGAGTGGCTTAAAAATTATAAACCTACACAGTGATTCTTGTTCTCTTGGGACAGATTTTAAAAACCCAGTAAGACATGAGTTTGATGTTTCAATGAATAAGTTGTAATCTGACATGACTTGCACCAGGTTCTTTATTACTGTTTTATAGAGTATGCAGAGTTCTTACACCACAAAGGGAAACCTTTCTCCGATTTTGATATGGTTAGGAAGGAGATTGAGGCTGAAACCGACAGGATGACGGGTTCAAATAAAGGAATCTCGAATGTGCCAATCAACCTGAGAGTTTACTCTCCAAATGGTAAGTGATTGAGAGGTGCCTGTCACTTCAGTTATCACAGAGTGTTATACATATATCAGAATCTAAAGATTTTATTCCTTAAACAGAAATTCTTGGGATACTTGTTAGGATCTCCCACTTCTCCCTAAATAGTAATCTTCACTGCTGTTTAATTAGATATTTGTTTACTAAACAACAAGTAAACCTATAAAAAAAAGGGCCTGTCAGGTTCTAGTGCCAGTACAATGTCAGTTTTACCATTAAGAACTGGAGCTTCTCCTTAAAAGTAAATCATACAACTAGGACTTACAGAATCGTGAGAAAAAAGACTCAGTAACTTGGCACACCTTAGTTGGTAAATACAAGGTTTGCCAAATATTTGACAATTTCATAATCCTTTTGAGAGGCTTGAGAGTCTCCAGTGTGTCTGTTTTTATGTGCGCATACATGTAAGTGAATAATTAAAAGCTCACCTACATTCTGTCAATATGATGCTGAAGTCTATTAAGATATTGTACCTATTTATAATGATCTAACACAGTCTCAGGTAGTCATGTATAGACACCTGATATTGAGGTTTATGTTGCAGTGCTGAACCTGACATTGATAGACTTACCGGGAATGACTAAGGTGGCTGTAGGTGACCAGCCTGCAGACATTGAGACCCAGATCCGTAACATGCTCATGGAGTTTATCACCAAGGACACATGCCTCATTCTTGCTGTGTCACCGGCTAACACTGACCTCGCCAACTCTGATGCTCTTAAAATTGCTAAGGAAGTTGATCCTCAAGGTATAACGATTTTTCCTGATGTACTTATTAACGAAACATATCTGAATGAGTGTTAATCACAAGTCACGCCTAATCAACATACCAGTATACATTTAAGACATGTTGCAGTAATATTTATTAAGTTCCAAGTATGAACATTTCATGTCATATTGGTAAAAGAATAAGTAAGAAATAAAATTTTGGGTCAGAAAAAGAGTTGATTATAAAATGAAGCATTATAGAAATGTCAGAAAGCAAACATGTTTACATGTTTAATAATAATATTTATAAAACAAAACAAAAGTAAATACAACTTAAAATTTCTGAGCTTAACTGTCAGTGTTATGTTTTTGAAGGGACACGGACAATTGGTGTCATCACCAAGCTAGATTTGATGGACGAAGGCACAGATGCTCGGGACATCTTAGAGAACCGCACATTACCACTACGGCGAGGTACATTTGAATTTTCTAATTTAAAGAGGACTAATTAAATTTTCAATATATTTTTTTCTGTATTTTGAAGTTTAGTTGGAAATTTCCGTAATACCTGTAAACTGTAAATGTAAACACTGGTGAGACTGGCTGTGTATTTTGACCCTCACCAAAACAAAACTTCCGAACAGCCATGTTAAGAAAACCATTTCTGGAGCACATTGGATGAGTAAGTTGTGTGACTTTTTTATCTAAAGGTTATGTTGGAGTTGTCAACAGAAGTCAGAAAGATATAGAAGGCAGGAAAGATATACGAGCGGCCATGGCTTCGGAACGTAAATTTTTCCTCAGTCATCCAGCTTACAGGTACTGCAAGCTTATTGTATTTAAAGTAATATTGTTGATATTGTTCATCTGCATAATGATATCCTCTAGAAATGTAGAGTCATGAAATTTAACATATTACACAGAAAAATGTGAGATAATGTTTTCAGGATATCAAAATTTGATGAAGATAATTGCTCTAAAAAAAAATGTACTATTATGATATGAATTTGTCGTGTCAAATTAAAGACTAGTGTAATATCAGTTATTCTCAGAGGGATTTTTTATTTTCTTTGCTTTCGAAATGACTTTTAATCCAAGAATTCATATTTCCACCAAAACTGATAAATGTTCTGAAATCGATTTCTAGCATACTGTAGATTTCATGCATATTATTCATCAGTGAAATCAAGCAGTCATGAAATAGTACTGTAATGAAAGAAAATGTAAAGATAATAATTTAAACAAATCTGCAAAATACAGCTCAATGAAAATGTGTTTCTATCATATTAGAAATAAGCTTGTCACGATTAAAAATCTTTTAATCTAGAGGTGATGTTATTTTATTTTCTGTGTTCTTTCTTACAGACATATGGCCGATCGTATGGGCACACCATACTTACAGAAAGTGCTTAATGAACAATTAACAAATCACATTAGAGATTCCTTACCAGCACTAAGGAACAGACTACAGTCGCAGTTACTATCCATGGAGAAGGAAGTTCAAGAATTTAAAAACTTTCGGCCTGATGATCCAGCTCGGAAGACAAAAGCAATGATGCAGTAGGTTCATCATAACATTAAAGGAATTCCTAAAACTCATGATTGGAACTGAATTTTCTAACAATTTACTTCAAAATTTTGTTTTAACTAAGAAATTAAGTACATTACCAGTAAATTTACTGAGATGCAATTTACTTTGGTTATGGATGAGTGACTTTATGCTAATGTAATTGGCTTTGTAATAGAATTTGAATGGTTGTGATTGATCGTGAATACATGCGTTTAATTATCTACTTAGGATATGTGTAATGACTTTGGATAGCTTTAATTGTTCTTTTGCTGTTTTAGTAAGTAATTTGTGTTAAAAATAAATTATTTGAAAATTTGATTTGTGTAATTGACTTAAGATATATGATAATGATTGATTTGATTGGTGGATTATTCACGAAATATTCGAGACCCTATTAGGATATCTTAAGATAAGTCAAAGTGCAGTTACCTTTGAATTGGTTGGATTGCAGAATGTGTCAACAGTTTAATGTGGACTTTGAAAAAAGTATAGAGGGATCAGGGTCAGTAATTAACACCAGAGAGTTGTCAGGGGGAGCCAAAATCAACCGCATATTTCATGAAAGGTTTCCTTTTGAGTTAGTCAAGGTATGTATTAATAAATTGACTCATGGTTTCAATAATCACTGTTTATAGAAAATATTTCAGAGAGAAATTTCCGTTCATGGAGATTAAGTGAAGGGAAAATCTCTATTCATAGAGGATATTTGAGAGGAAAAATTGTTTTTTTGTCAAATATTTTTGAGAAAATCTCTGTTTATAGGGAAAATGAAAGATGGAAAATCTATGTTTATAGGAAACATGCAAGAGAAAAATCTCAGTATATGGAGAATATGTGAAAGAGAAAACTGAATATTTATGGAGAAAGTCAGAGAGAAATATCTCTGATTATAGAGAATATGTGTTAGAAAAAATCTCTGTGAATGAAGATTTGTTTCAGAGGGACCCATTGACTAGAAAATACAGCTAGAAATCAATTCTGTATGCCATTCTGTTTTGTTTTGATTGGCTGGTATTACATAAAGAGTGAAAATAATTTTGATTCATATTTGTTTTCTACAGATGGAATTTGATGAGCGAGAACTAAGGAGGGAAATCAGTATCGCCATCAGAAATATCCATGCAATCAGGTCAGTTACAGGCCGATCAGTAGATATTCTTGAGGGGAATATGGGTTCAAATTATCGCTACGTCAAGGGAAAAGTTTATTAGAATGGCTACTTTAATATATAGTTATAAAGTCTGTTCTGTTGATATTTTCACTTACAACAAAAAAGGCCTTTAGTTGGAAGTTAACTACACAAACTCTAAAGAGTAAATATTTTTGGACTTGTCATGTAACTACTCACATGATCTTTACAGAACGGGCTTGTTTACGCCAGATATGGCATTTGAGGCTATAGTAAAAAGTCAAATACAGAAGCTCATCACCCCTTCAATTAAGTGTGTGGATTTGGTGGTTACCGAACTCACTTCAGTCGTCAGACGCAATACACAACAGGTAAGTCATACTGTTACAGATAGCAACTCGCCTTACTCAGCAGGTGCTGTACCTAGCTGGTAGATCTCGACACAACTGGTGTATCTTTGTTTTGTAAAAAAAATGTATTTTTGGGAAAGATCTCTAGACGTCAAAAGATATAGCATTGCAACTTTTCAATGTGTGAAATCTGAGACAATATCTTTCTTATTTATACATTCATGTTGTTTCCAACAGATGGGTCGTTATCCACGACTTCGTGAGGAGGTGGAGAGAATAGTGAATACAAGGATACGTGAATGTGAACAGAAGGTCAAAGATCAGCTTCGGCTATTGGTCGAGTGTCAACTAGCATACATGAATACTAACCATGAAGATTTTATTGGGTTTGCTAAGTATGAACCATTCATGTTAAGATTAGCAAATTTTTAATTTGTTAGAAATTATCTGATTTTGATCAACTTTGGTTTCGTAAAAATGACTCATTTTCTGTGCTGTCTGGATTTTTTATAGTCAACAATGAGTTAAAATTAAGAAAAAATTAATACTTTGAAATTTAATTATAAAAGTTTGTTCTCTGCATGGCTTAGTGACCTCTAATTGTTTTGATATATAAGATTAATTACTATATAACTGATGTATTTCCATATCAGTGTGAGAAAAATTGATCATTTGTAGCATTTTCATTCCAGTGCCCAAAATAAAACAGAAAACACTCAGAGGAAAAAAGTTGGGAATCAGGTATATATAATCAGCCTCAAATTTGTTTCTCAATCATGAAAATGATGTGCAGTTTCTGAACAAAAACAATCAATCTCATATGTCTTAATAAACTTTTAAAACTAATACACATTCAGTTTTAACCAGTTCTTTAAAATAAATCCTTGAAAATAAGTTCTCAGATATTCTTTTTAAAAAGTTTTGCCACTCTTGAAAAATTTTGTCTTATGACTGAAAAAGAAAATTGCCAGCATCTTCATTGTTTTTTGTTCTTTATCCTCATGAATCCAAAACAAATGTTTTGTTTTAGTTACATGTTTCAGCATTTAGCAATGCTGTTGTGTGTTTGATGAACACTGATGTATTCTTTGTGTTACTATAGGTTATCCGTAAAGGCTGGCTCACACTCCACAACATAAGTTTTATGAAAGGTGGTTCTAAGGATTTCTGGTTTGTTCTCACAGCTGAGACATTATGCTGGTTTAAGGATGAGGAGGTATTTATTCTAGTTAACACCACATTAAAATCATTTTTATATGTAAGCCTTAAGTTTTCAAATCAATTTCCAAGCTATTGACATCATTTTAGTGAGAGGATATTCTGAATTCTGTTTATTTGAAAAAAAAACAACAAAAAATACCTAAGATACTATACAGGTAAAGAATGATGAATAAGAAGCACAACAACTCCCTCCTGCAAGGTCTTCACAGATGTTTTTCTTAAGAGTACCTGGTATTACTTAAGGCAGTGCTCTGATTTACATTATATTTGTATGTCATTAGTGAATATACTTCAGGAGGCAATCTGATCTTTGGTGCAGCAGATTTACATTATATTCATACATGAGGAGTAAATTACTCTGGTCATTATTCCTCCTTCCTTGGTGCATGTGACACCAATACAGGATCTGGGTGATAGGGCTCCAACCATTATTCATTTTAAGACTTGAAATAGTGTAAAGGGTAGAAGGAGGGAATAGAAATTTTAATATCTTCATTGCTTAATGTAATGAATGGAAACCAATGTACATTCTTACAAATAAAGGTGTTTCAGAGTAAAAATTAAAGGATTTGCAAAATGTTGATATTTATGCTTTTATATATATATGTATGTAAAATAATTTAAAGTTTGTTTTACAATACAATGTGTTCATTGTTGATGCATTTGATGACATATTTCTGAATTAATATATACAAATATTGTTGAATTCATATACTGTAATATATATTTTGATTTCATCTATCATCAATTAAATAATAAAATGAAGTTGTTGAATTAAAACCTGACATGTTCTGAAATAGAAATATATATAAATATTGTTGAATTGATATTTATTTATTGATTGTTTATTGATAACATGTTGTTGAATAGAATTATTGTTCTGACATCTCTAACCTATCATTCTCTGTTCTTGAGTTACCTCCCCTTTCTGGCCTTTTCATCCCCAATTATCCCCTTGAAAGCATGCACATTCATGTTTAGACAAACACAAATCTTTCCTCTGCACAAGTCGGTGTTTTAAAGTGTTTCTGATATATTCAGTAAATTGGTGGAAGTTTTTATCAGTAAATCAATTTCTCACGTCATGTTAGAAAAGAAACCAGATTTTTATTTCTCGTCTACTTTTAACTTTATTATAACTTATTTACACATTTGTGTTATTTGCTGGAGAAAGGATTTGTCTTTGTGCTTGTTTCAGTTTTTGTATTATTTTGCACATACTGAAGGACACACTGACCCACCTGCTGTCGCCCTATAACAATAATACACACAACACTTAGTGCCCTGTCTGACCTTGTGACCCTATAATAAACCTTCACTATTGCTGACACCCCCAATAACTCCTCCCTACTAATGGTTGGCCTGTGTTAACTATGTCCGTGTAACTGATCAACACACCATATACAAAAAAGTCCTTGACTGCCTATAGTGAACATTAACCCAATATCTCCACAGTAACTTCTACTGATGACTTGCATGTTGAAATAATCGGGGGGAAGCCATTTTTTTCCTCAGAGTCATTCTTTTCATTTTAATTTACTGTCTTTTAATTTTTCCTCAGTTCGAATGTTTGAAATTTTGTTCATTTTGAAGGTTATTAACTCTTATTTTTCTTTTTAATATTTTCTATGAAGGAGAAAACTTCTCGCAGGTTTTACTAATTTGGTATCACTGAATTTTGATAAATCCCATCTTCTTCATTGAAATTATGAATTTATCAATGCCTATAAATATAAGTGGCAAAGCCAGAACTAGGTGACTGTTTCCTTTCTGTTATGTTAGGGCTTGTTTTAATTATAAGTATTGAATCAAGCAATTTCAATACCTGGTAATGACTTAAAATACCAAAGTGATCGTGTTCCTGGGTTTGCTTGCATGGAGCTTGTTGGAAAGTCTGCTTTGTACACATATTTATGATATCTGTGGAAAACCTAATATTTCTGTTTCTACTGCTCTGATCAGTCAATGTAATCTCATAGCTTTTACCTTTTTTGTATTATATATATAATCAGGCATAAAAAAGATTTTGGTAACTTAGAGGACTCTGGTGATATTTTACTAACATTTAAACAAGAAAGTTGTGGAATAATTATTCTGTTCATTGTTATCATCAGCTTTTTATTTCTAAAGGTTTTTTTGACTTCTATATACAAACTATTTAGTGAAACCAAGATTTATTTTGAATATGTTGATAGGCGAGTGAATAATCACATTTCATTGTTTTAGGATAACTCTGTTTTTACTTAAGTTTCTTACGGTTTTTTCCTTGTTTTGTTCAGTATTTATAATTTTTTATTTTGCGTTTGCAATTCCTACCTTTTCCAAAACAAGTTATCCAAGGTATCTGTTCTTAGCTTTCCACATCTAAGTTCTGTTTTTTCTTTGGAACTTTTTTATTCTATAGGTAAAAGGTAAATTTTTTAAATAAAGGAAACAAACAAACAAACAAAAAAACCCAATGTACTGGCATCATGTGTTACTTTTATATGTACAGGTAAAGTGTGACCTGTATTTATACTGTTGTCAGTTGTGGCTAACATATGTTCTGGTGTCAGGTGTGACCTGTATATATAGTTGTCAGTTGTGACTTGCATGTGCACTGGTATCAGGTGTGAACTTTGTATGTTTTTGAGGGTTTAGTGTCATGTGTGACCTGTTTTGGCATTTGTATGTACTGGTGCCTAGTATGACTTGTATATGAAGTTGTGGTTATGATGTCAGGTGTGGCATACACCTGTACTGATGCCAGGTGTGATATGTACTGGTGGACCTGTATTTGTATCGGTGGATCAAGTTGATTGTGTGACCAATATATGTACTGTTGTTATTTCTGACCTGTGTATGTACTGGTGTGGGGTGTTACCTGTATATTCGCAGGTTTATTAGGTGTCAGGTGTGACTTGTTATGTACTGTTTATCAGATGTCAGGTGTGACCTTTTATGTACTGTTTATAAGATGTCAGGTGTGACCTGTGTATGTACTGATGTCAGGTGTGACCTGTATATGTACTGTTTATCAGGTGTCAGGTGTGACCTGTGTATGTACTGGTGTCAGGTGTAAGGCGTGACCTGTATATGTACTGTTTATCAGGTGTCAGGTGTGACCTGTTATATACTATTTATCAGGTGTCAGGTGTGACTGTTACATACTGTTTATCAGGTGTCAGGTGTGACTGTTACATACTGTTTATCAGGTGTCAGGTGTGACCTGTTATGTACTGTTTATCAGGTGTCAGGTGTGACCTGTGTATGTACTGGTGTCAGGTGTGACCTGTGTATGTACTGGTGACAGGTGTGACCTGTTATGTACTGTTTATCAGGTTTCAGGTGTTACTTGTATATGAACAGGTTTATCAGAAGTCAGGTGTGACTTGTATATGAACAGGTTTATCAGAAGTCAGGTGTGACTTGTATATGTACTGTTTATCAGGTGTTAGATGTGACTTGTATATGTACTGTTTATCTGGTGTCAGATGTGACTTGCATATGTACTGTTTATCAGGTGTCAGATGTGACTTGTATATGTACTGTTTATCAGGTGTCAGATGTGACTTGTATATGTACTGTTTATCAGGTGTCAGATGTGACTTGTATTTGTACAGGTTTATCAGGTGTCAGGTGTGACTTGTATATGTACTCTTTATCAGGTGTTAAGTGTGACTTGTATTTGTACTGTTTATCAGGTGTCAGGTGTGACCTGTTATATACTGGTGTCAGGTGTGACCTGTGTATGGTTCGGTGTCAGGTGTGACCTGTGTATGTACTGGTGTCAGGTGTGACCTGTGTATGTACTGGTGTCAGGTGTGACCTGTGTATGTACTGGTGTCAGGTGTAACCTGGGTATGTACTGGTGTCAGGTGTGACCTGTGTATGTACTGGTGTCAGGTGTGACCTGTGTATGTACTGGTGTCAGGTGTGACCTGTGTATGTACTGGTGTCAGGTGTAACCTGGGTATGTACTGATGTCAGGTGTGACCTGTGTATGTACTGGTGTCAGGTGTGACCTGTGTATGTACTGGTGTCAGGTGTAACCTGGGTATGTACTGATGTCAGGTGTGACCAGTTTATGTACTGGTGTCAGGTGTGACCTATTTATGTACTGGTGTCAGGTGTGACCTGTGTATGTTCTGGTGTCAGGTGTGACCTGTACATGTTCTGATGTCAGGTGTGACCTGTGTATGTACTGGTGTCAGGTGTGACCTGTGTATGTACTGGTGTCAGGTGTGACCTGTGTATGTACTTGGTGTCAGGTGTGACCTGTGTATGTACTGGTGTCAGGTGTGACCTGTGCATGTACTGGTGTCAGGTGTGACCTGTTTATGTTCTGGTGTCAGGTGTGACCTGTGACGTAGGCCTGTCTTACACTATTTATATTGATAATCCTTGTACATATTTTTTTATTGAGATAATTTGCATGTTTTACATTACTACCTGTTGATAAAATGATGTATTTATAGCAAGGATGTTGAAAAATCTAGACTTATATGTTTTTAATCAGTCCTGAAATATCAAATGATCCATGTTTTTATTTAGTGTTGTGAGGCAGGTTTAGCTCCCCTACAAATGTTTGATTTGTAATGATTTTTGTTGTATGTCTGTATTTGTGATTCTGCCATTACCACCATGGGGTTTTTGTTGTGGTGAATACTAGTGCAATATAGTGTTGTCTTTGTACTTTTATTATTCATAGTGTAGACAGACAAGGAATAGGTTTTATATAAACGGGAAGAAACTGCTCTCCTGAAGAGAAGTAGAATATGACATACAACAAATTCACAAGGATTTTCTGTTGATTTAGAGCTTATATCTATAAGTAATACTGCTTATATTGTCTAGGATCAGCTGCAACCAGAGTAAACATCTCAACATCACCATATATCATTCCTCTCAGTATATAACCACCTCATTCCTGACCATCAGAGCCATGGGTCATCATCCCTCACTTTGATTACAGAAGTATGCTTTTGATCACAGGATCTTGTTGAATGAGGTCTAACATATATACGCCATCATTTTTCTACGTCCGGGATCATATGGTTACCATAACAACATATGCATGTTGCATTATTAAACACTAACTCTGTAATTTTTTGACAGGAAACTGACAAGAAATACATGCTCCCTTTGGAAGGTCTGAAAGTGCGAGACCAAGAGACATCGGGAATTCTCTCCCGCCGACCCACTTTCGCTCTTTTCTCTTCAGAGCATAGGTATACACACACAGGTCGGGGGAGACATGGCCCCTTGTACAGGCTTTATGTATCATATGTTGGGATATCCAATTATTCTGGTTCCCCCAGTAGCTATGGCTATCGCTTTTACTCAAACTCTTTCTCCAGGCTCATGTAGTGGTCTGAAAGATTTGGCCAATCAAGTTGCTGGTTGCATGAGGTTTTGGCATAATTATCCAGTTCGCTTTCATCATTTGCATGTAATGGCATGAGGCTTTTTTAAAAAGTTTTTGTAAAACCTTTGTCCCTATATATAGCAGCCAGTCAAAAAGTCTTAAGAGTCTTCGTAATATAATACCTGATGTTTTTATTGCTTCCAAAACAATGGTTGTACACATTTTATAAAATGGGAGATTCAGATGAGGGGAGACAACTCCATGATTATGGATTAATTTCTGAAATGATGGCTGCTATTTTTGGGGTTTATTTTCTCTGGTACTCATGTTGTAAAAGTCGCTAACAACACATTGTGTGCATGTAATTGTAACACTTATTTACAGTGGAACATCTCAAGACTTTCAGCTTGCAAATGAAACCAAGTATCAGTAGGTTTTATATTTTCTTTTCAAAGTCCTGGTGAAGTTGCTTGATTCGACAATTATACAAACAGAAGTTGATCTATTATACCATAGTGATATCAGCTAATGTAAAATGGAAATTAGAGAAGTGTTTGTAAGTTGGAAACATTTTTTTTCTTTATGGCATCAAAAAACTGGTTTTACTCTTAAAATCTTGGATTCATCTAATTTCCCACACCGTCTTATATCTGGATCAAAGGCAGCAACAGAAGGTATTGATTTATCCTTATCACAAGATTGATGGAACTGACATTTTCATAATTCACTCTAGGTTTTTTTCTTCTTTTACTTATGGCTTTTTTTTTTATCTATATATATATAAATTTATTTAACTAATATTTCTATTAATACATTTTTATCACCACACATACGTGATATAATGGCCTGATTCCAGATTTATTTTCAAATTTCCAACACCTGACAATTTCATTATTAAATAGCAGCCATATCTGATACCTGAAAGGGTTGTTCTGTCTTTCTAATATTGAAACTTTCTATTTGATGGTAAGATCCAGCATTGTGGCACTGTCATGGACTGATCACATCAGCTAGCATACACCAACACCTTAACAAGTGTACATCACAAAACTCTACCGAAATGTTTCATATTTATCAATACATACAATATGCTATGGAACATCATTTCAACAAAACTTTTCTTTATGAATTTCGAGCCTCTCTACACGGTTTTCTTGCTCCTAATCCATCAGCCTGTACCCATGATAAGCCTGGCTTTACCCATTCCCCACCTATAAACATCAAACCCATTCTACTTCTCTCTCTACTAAAGATAGAAACTTTCTTCATGCCATTCCACCTTTATGTAATGTAGTTAGATACAGTTTGTCCTGTTATGAATGATAGATTTGCTTTTTTCCCCCAGAATTTTGTATATTTTTTTACATACATATTTTTTGTCTTTTGGTATTTTCTAGCTTTTGTATACTGTTTTTAGCTGACTGTACTAGATTTTGCTTTACCATTATAGATCAAATCTAACCTATATGATAGCCAGTCTGTTAACATTTTCAAACACACAGCTTCATTAGCACTAATTATCATACAATTATTTTCAAAGTTGAAACAAGACAAAATAAGGCATAACCGGATTATATCAAATTTGCAGTCAACATTTAACTAAACTAACCAGGTTATTCAGTGTGTATAAAAGCAGAGCATGTCTAACCTATTTTTAAATTTAAGCCAAAAGGAAAGCTTCTTTGGTTTAAGCGTTGTTAGTATTAACAGGTAAAGCAGTTTAATAAAAGGTTAGCTGGAAACAGTTTACAATCACATTGTGTGTTAACTTCAGGGTCAGTTTTATGTTACCAAACTATAATAAACTTGGTCACATATCATTGATGGTGAGGTAAGCATATCATTGTGGACATACAGCTCACATAGTCAGCCTTCAGGCTGAGCCTGCATTGGTGTTAGCGGGCTTCCTGTAACAGAGCCGAGTATCTGTTAACGTCTGGGTAGGTGGTTCTTGGCTAGCTTAGAGTACCATCTCCAACTGCTCAATTGTAGGAAAAAGAAAAGAAGTTTATGTTACCTCTGGATAATCTCAAGGTCCGGGATATGCCTGACTCTGGTTTCGTGAGCAAGCGAAAGAATTTTGCAATCTTCCAGACTGAAAACAGGTTTGGGTGTCTTTTCTTTCCCTGGTTTAATTTATTGTTGCACAACACGGATAAAATGGAACAGCAATTTTGTGAAGAGTAGGAGATGGAGTGAATGCTGTCATGGTTTTACAAGTCATGTAACATGGTGTTGTCAATATCAAACACCTTATTGAGATTAAACATTCTGTTATATAGGTAATTATATGGTAGATACAGTGTATGATTACAAGGACAAAACATCCTCTCATCTTCTTAAATATTGAAATGCTGTTCCATGTTATCCAACCCACATACTCAGCTGTGTTTTAATTATCATGCTTCACTAATTGTCTCTTTTTTTAATTAGAATAGCTTCGTGTTAATTCCCTTACTATACCTGGCTGTTTTATTTCAGGTTTATGTTTCAGTGAACAGGTCAGATATTGGTACTGCATGCTCAAAAAAACTGTTGATTTGTTGAATTTCTAGGAAAGAGAAAAGAAATATATGCTTGCAGTTGAGGGTCTAAGGATACGTGATATCGAGGGTGGTATATTTTCGCATAAAAATCAGTTTGCCATTTACAATTCTGACACCAGGTAGGTGACAGGTTATATGTAGCATCTGTTTGATCTTTTGTTTTCATTCTTCTTCTCCACCGATTTCTTTACGAGCTAGTGATCTTCTGTTTCCATGTATAAATCCTGAATTTCTTTATATTACATGTACGGTTTGATAATTTATACTAGATATTTATATCTTTGAAAACTGGTGCATTTTGGATTATTGCTATTATTTGTAGACATTAAGAAAGTAAGTGAAATAGATAAAGTGAAATAAATAAACAATTAGATAAATAGGGTTAAGACTTATGAGAAGAAAGAAAATTAGGATGGAAACAGAATATTATTGAGTATAGTGGGTTATACTGACTGTCTCCTGTTGTCTGCTTCCTATAGTAACACAGAACTGATGTGTGTTAACAGTTTTTTTTACCCTAAATCATATAATTGGTAGCTAAAGAAAGCTTCGTTTACTAGCCTAAGTGCCTCTTTATACTTCAGCTTAGATAAACAGGCTTTCAGCTGATTTGTAATGCGGTTTAACTGTGAAGTCAAGACAATGTCTCTTTTTAAACAAAGAATATTCCTTCTTGTGAGAATCAGACATTTTTTGTAGGTACTGTAATTGATTTGATCTGTCTTACACTTAGGAGATTATCAGTCAGTCATATTTATTAATACCTGGTATACACCATATGGAGTAAAGGTTTTAGTTTCACAGACTGAGTATTGGAAGTTAAATCATTCTCAAAGCTGATAGAAAATATAGGAACAGTATCTTGTGTATATTTTTAGGAGAAAGATAGAAATAAATGAACACAATACCTTTTGTATATCTTAAAAATTGATTGAAAAAGTGGCTAGAAAAAGCATTTTGTGTTTATGTTCCAGCTTCATGTGAGATTTAATCGATAAAACTAGCACTATTGTTTTAACATATGTAAGAGATTATTGTTTGTTGGGCTTCTGTGTGCATAAAGCAGGGCTACTATCCAAGATTTCTCTAGCTGGTAACAAGGAATTCTCATTCTTCATATCCGTATCGCATTTATTGAATAACATTAACACACTAAATGTGTCAAAGTTATAAATACCGGGGTATATATATATATATATAATGTTTGACAGGTCTCTTAAAGCAGAATTAAAATACCTTAAGCACAATTACACAGCATAAACCTTCAAATTCTGAGAATACTGTCCTGTAATTGAATGATGAAAATGATATGCTAATCATATGATGATTATATGTTACTCATGTTGATAAAATGTAAATGATATGCTAATCATATGATAATTATATGTTAATCATGTTGATATAATGTAAATGATATGCAAATCATATGATAATTATATGTTAATCATGTTGATATAATGTAAATTATATGTAAATCATATGTTAATTATATGACTTTTATCTGTTGTTTTACATTCTTTTATTTATAGATATTGTGTATCTATAGTAATTTTCTATTTTAAGTTTCCAACCATATAACCATACACTGTTAAATTTCAGTGAATATATGAATTTCTTTTATTTTACCTCACTTGAGTTGTTATTAGATCTAGTCAGTGTAATCTGTTAAATGATATGATATATGCAATTTCATCAAAAGAAAACACACCAATGCTTCTAACAATTTAATTCTAAAATTGTGCAAACATTACTTGCATTAAGTTTTGGCTATTTAGGTTGAGGTTGTAATGTTTCTAAAAATAGGTTGTACTGTATATATAGAGTGTTATCCAGGTTGTATTGCGTAAATGAAGTGTTATATAGGTTGTTATGTATATATGAAGTGTTATATAGGTTGTAATGTATATATGTTCTATAGTGTTAGCTATAGGGGTGATTGAAGGGTATACATTTGAGGTATATAATGAAACAAATGAATTCCTGCAGAGTTCTGATATTTTGGTGTTTCATACATTTTGCCTCTGTAACCAATAAGTGATGTCCAGGTTGTTTGTGCACCTGTCCCTCTATACATGAGCAAATACTGGTGACCAAGTCTTTATATGTATATCTCTGTTAGATATGAGATATTGACAGTAACTGTTTTATTTGTAGGAATGTCTATAAGGACTACAAACAGCTGGAGTTATCAGCGGAGAGTCAGGAGGAAGTTGACAGCTGGAAGGCTTCATTCCTCAGGGCAGGTGTTTACCCTGACAGAAGCACTGAGGAAAACAAGGATTCTGTAAGTCTTTGATGATTCAAACATGGAATAAGGTCGAAAAAGTAGAAGTTTAGGGGTAAGTGGGTTTGAAGGGTGGGGCTAGATTAGGTAGGGCTAAGGTAAGGTAAATAATGTGTCATGTGATTAAGTGTACTATGGCTTGATAGGTCAAGTATATATGGCAACTTTTCAAACTTTTTATGAGGAAGTAAAGTGCATGAACAACATTCAGACTTGACGACATAATAGCTTGTGCCTTGGGATGGTTGTTTAAAAGAAAACTGGAAAATTGACAAAGTAAATGCTCTAGATAAGATGTATGTAGTTACAAGTTGATGCACATCTTAATGATAAAAAAGATCGAGTTGAAATTGAGGAAACGAGATTAGGCAGTCTGTGTTGAAGTTTAAGATAAATTGAGGAAAAAGAGACATGAAGGCTGGAGTCCAATACATTGAAATGATGGGAAAACCTGCTGATCATATATTGACATTTTTGTGTAGTAACATGTTTCTTGTGTGTAAATATATCAGTATTTCACGTTGAGTTTTCCAACATTGCTGTTGTGTTTCAGGATGTTAAAGATGTAGGTTTGACTTCATTATATTTCCCAAATCACATTATAATCGGCTAATTCTCTTAAAAGCCTTGTCCCTTGCCCACTGCCTGTTTCCACTGCGACACCTGAAGAAACTTACCTAAATTCTGTCTTGCTATATGCACTGTTGCAAATTGCTTGATGTATGTTAGTGTAATATGTGATATAGAAGCAAATGGAAACAATTACCCTGTGGTAGATACATTTGCCACAAGTAACATGATATTCAGAAAAACTTGAATATCACTGCACCAATATTGAGTTCATAGACAATGCGTGCCTTCACACATCGAGCAGTTTACTTTGTTTGGTAGATAAGATAATTACCTACATATGGTTTTTGAGATTAGTGTTATAAATGTTTCGGATATGGTTTACTGAAAAGACTTCTGCAATTAAAAAGAAAAATTCAATATCAGCGCTCTGTTAAAAGTGCTATACATTATATCTAGTGTGTAAGGAATGGTAGTTCTTGTTCTTAAGTATGTTTATGAGATGACATTGAGCTTTGTGTAAATTGTCCTGTGCTGATATTTAATCCTGACAATGCCGTTATGATATGAACTACACTAGATGGCTTGTGTCCCCAATATGTTACATAAATATATACCAAAGGCATGCATACATTGATCATCTTCATGGAAATCAAGCCTAACTCCTCTACATGTATAATGTCTATTCTTACCAGGTAGGGCATCAACATGTCAAAATTTCCTCCTCGAGCTACCAAGGATAGGACCACTGCATTGAATATTAATGTTGTTGTAGATTGCGTATCCTGTTGGACCCTATAAAAATGGAGTATTGCTCATTATGATGGCTTCTCATTGCATTGTTTAAAGAATGTATCGTACAACACCTTTTGTTTAAAAGTTTTAATTTCTGTTTGTTTTTTGTTGTGATGAGAGGATGTACAATCCAGCTTCCTTTCTTTGTGTTTTCTGTATAACTTACCATACTATTTACATGTTACTAAAGGGGCTGATCACCTTGAAACGTTACACAGTTTATCTATGTAATAAACACATACTGTGATACAGATCTGATACATTACTGCTCCATGTTACAGTTGCTTGTATGATTCTGATGTATTTTCCAGGCGGGCAGCAGTGATATGGGCTCGATGGATCCACAGCTGGAACGACAGGTGGAGACAATCCGTAATCTTGTTGACTCCTACATGAAGATTGTCAACAAAACCCAGCGAGACCTAGTCCCAAAAACCATCATGTACATGATTGTCAATGAAGTGAGTAAAAGTTACCCTGTAATATTACTCATAAGACAGTAATAAGCAGGATATGAGACAAAAATACACACAGGATATGAGACAATAATACAAGCAGGATATGAGACAATAATACAGGATATGAGACAATAACACAAGCAGGATATGAGACAATAATACAAGCAGGATATGAGACAATAACACAAGCAGGATATGAGACAATAATACAAGCAGGACATGAAAGTAAAATTGGATTTCTTAATGTAACATATTTTGAATTGTTAACTACTTCAACAATACACTACTAATATAATTATGTTAAAGTCTTAATTTTCATGGGAATTTATTTTCTATTGATTTTGTCGATACTTTTATTCCATAGATATCAAAATTTTGTAGTTTTTAGTAGGTTACTTGAGCACTGCTTATTAAGAAATCAAGTGCCCACACAAAAGGATTTTTTTTTGAAATGTGCAATTTTAGCTCCACAAAAAATAATTGATTTCACAGTATCAGAGGAAATGACCTTCTTACATGATCACATACTAATGGAGCAAGTGATTCATCATAACTTTGATTTTAATGTGAGATTGCAAGAATCACTTTTTTTTTTCTTTTTTTAGGTGAAGGAGTTTATTGGAGGTGAATTATTGGCTCATCTGTATTCAACAGTAGACCAGGTAAGTTCTTAGACTAACTGTATTCAACTGTAGACCAGGTAAGTTCTTAGACTATCTGTATTCAACAGTAGACCAGGTAAAATCTTAGACTATCTGTATTCAACAGTAGACCAGGTAAGTTCTTAGACTATCTGTATTCAACAGTAGACCAGGTAAAATCTTAGACTATCTGTATTCAACAATAGACCAGGTAAGTTCTTAGACTATCTGTATTCAACAGTAGACCAGGTAAGTTCTTAGACTATCTGTATTCAACAGTAGACCAGGTAAGTTCTTAGACTATCTGTATTCAACAGTAGACCAGGTAAGTTCTTAGACTATCTGTATTCAACAGTAGACCAGGTAAGTTCTTAGACTATCTGTATTCAACAGTAGACCAGGTAAGTTCTTAGACTATCTGTATTCAAGATTAGACCAAGTAAAATCTTAGACTATCTGTATTCAACAATAGACCAGGTAAGTTTTTGTGATGTTTTGGTTTTATAGAATTGTCTCTGGAGCTCAAAGAACTTTCTACTTGATTTTATAAAATTGTCTTTCGAATCTTACAGAACTGTCATCAAAGTTTACTTTGGGTCTCCTAAGAACTTTCTCTTTGGTCCTAGAAGAAAGTATGGAGGTGTTCTTTTTTTATCTTGTAAAGATGTCTTCTGTACCTTTAATTGTATTGGGGGTCCAACAGAATTGTCTCCCTTGATTCATGTTCTGTAATATTGGATTAATTATTTGTTGATGATATAAGCATCATCTATGATAGCTTATTTTTCTGTAGATTTTGTTTTTTTATCCAAATAAGAAGCGTTTTTTTTCAAATCAATCTCATGGTCTTGGTTTTCAAAATTAAAAATTTACAATGTGTATATATGGATATTGAAACAAATTTTACAGGCAACAACGACCAGGTAAGTTCTTAGACTATCTGTATTCAACAGTAGACCAGGTAAGTTCTTAGACTATCTGTATTCAACAGTAGACCAGGTAAAATCTTAGACTATCTGTATTCAACAGTAGACCAGGTAAGTTCTTAAACTATCTGTATTCAACAGTAGACCAGGTAAGTTCTTAGACTATCTGTATTCAACAGTAGACCAGGTAAGTTCTTAGACTATCTGTATTCAAGATTAGACCAGGTAAGTTCTTAGACTATCTGTATTCAACAGAAGACCAGGTAAGATCTTAGACTATCTGTATTCAACAGTAGACCAGGTAAGTTCTATCTGTATTCAACAGTATACCAGGTAAGTTCTTAGACTATCTGTATTCAACAGTAGACCAGGTAAGTTCTTAGACTATCTGTATTCAAGATTAGACCAGGTAAGTTCTTAGACTATCTGTATTCAACAGAAGACCAGGTAAGATCTTAGACTATCTGTATTCAACAGTAGACCAGGTAAGTTCTATCTGTATTCAACAGTAGACCAGGTAAATTGTAAACCGTTTGTATTCAATAGTAGACAAGGTAAAATGAGAATAGGAATTTGAAATCTGAAAAGTAACTGATGTTAAATTTGGATAAATATATTTGTATTTGAAGTTTTCTTGAATTGGTTAAGAAGATATCTTTCATTTTACAGAGTTCCATGATGGAGGAATCTAAAGAAGAAGCAAATCGTCGTGAGGAAATGCTGCGCATGTATCACGCAACAAAGGAAGCCCTACAAATTATTGGTGACATTTCTACGACAACTGTGTCCACTCCGTGCCCTCCCCCAGTTGACAGTGATTGGCTGAATGTGGAACAGTCCTATAATGGGTGAGTTGTAGGGATAGATAATTTACAGGGTTAGATATCTCCATGACAACTGTGTCCACACCCTGCCCTCCCCTAATCAACAGTGATTGGCTTAATGTGGGACAGTCTTAAAATGGTTTTGTTGTAGGGGTAGATAGTATATAGAGTTAGACATCTCTACAACAATTGTGTCCACATCCTGTCTTCCCCTGGTTGACAAAGATTGACTCAATGTGGAACAGTTCTACAATGAGAAACTTATAGGGGTAAATAGTACACAGTGAAATGAGTTTGGAGTTAAACTTTCAAGACAAAGTTTGAATATCAGATGAGTGTGCAGGTATCAATTTTTCACATCACATCATCGATAGATAAGCTGTTTGAGATGTATGTGTTGTTAAGTTTATTTATAGGATTGTATGTAGGGAGTGATCACTGTAAATTTTAATGTTAGGAAGGCTAGGTTATACCTTCTTCTGACTCTTTTTCATGTGTCCTATATGTTTAACCTTTTATTTCCAGACGTCCAAGTTCCCGGCCCTCCTCACCCAAGCCAAGTCGCGCTCCTCCACCACCCCTTCCCAACCGCCCTGGAGGTAATCAACCATCAATTCCCAACCGCCCTGCCCCAAACATTCCCACACGCCCTGCCCCACAGGCACCGGTGGGTATGGCCATCAATGCAATGGGAGGTCCTCAACAAGCTGCGGGAACATTTACTAATATGGCTTTCCAGGCTGGTGGAGCCTTTGGACAAGCAGGCAACGTTCCTCCCATACCTGCGTAAGTATCTATAGGATGTAGGTTGTGTATCAATGTTGTTCCTCTAGTTTACTATCATTGATGTATGAAACTTCTAGATTTATTTCCCCTGATATTGTGTAGCTCCTAATATCAATAGAAATATGTGTTGTTGATTGCGTCATTATGTTATGTATATGTAGTAGCCTACAAATTGTCTAGGTGAGACAGAAGGATGACTAAGAGCATGTCACTAATCCCAATAGTGTTACATCCATTTTGTTTGGAATAACTCAGTGTTGAATGAGAGGATGCTGAAAGCTGGGACAGCATGGTATCAGCTAGTACAACATGGTGGTTTGTTTGTCAGCTGGAACTTTTCTGTTCAACTGCATATTGTCTCTGGTATGTCAGCTGGAGCAGCATGGTGTCATACTTGTCAGCTGGAAGTGTTCAGTTTAACAGCATGGTGTCTGGTATGTAGTAAGACTAGCATACCTGGAGGTCTGGTTTGTATGCTGCTCTCTGCATGCCTTCTGTATGTCAGGCTGTAGACTCCTGATGTGTGCTATCACTAACAGAGAGGTTTTGTGAACCTTTCATTATCTAAAGTCCGAAAAAGTGTCATTTGGTCATGTAAAATAGTTACGAGGATCTTATAAAGCTCCTGTCATGGTTTTAAACAATTGTCCTTTTGATCTTGGATCAGCTCTCTACTTTGTTATATGAAATTGTCCTCTGAATGTTCAAGAAATGTCCACTTGGTATCCTTTGGATCTTTTAAAACTGTTATCTTTGTTTCATGAAATAGTTCTATGGATCTTATAGAACTGATGTTTTGGTTTTATAGAATTGTCTCTGGAGCTCAAAGAACTTTCGACTTGATTTTATAAAATTGTCTTTTGAATCTTACAGAACTGTCATCAAAGTTTACTTTGGGTCTCCTAAGAACTTTCTTTTTGGTCCTAGAAGAAAGTATGGAGGTGTTCTTTTTTTATCTTGTAAAGATGTCTTCTGTACCTTTAATTGTATTGGGGGTCCAACAGAATTGTCTCCCTTGATTCATGTTCTGTAATATTGGATTAATTATTTGTTGATGATATAAGCATCATCTATGATAGCTTATTTTTCTGTAGATTTTGTTTTTTTATCCAGATAAGAAGCATTTTTTCAAATCAATCTCATGGTCTTGGTTTTCAAAATTAAAAATTTACAATGTGTATATATGGATATTGAAACAAATTTAACAGGCAACAACGATAGAGAAGAATTCTGAATAATGAAACAATGTAGGAAACTTACGATACATATATTGATGATTTACTGTTGTTGTGTTGTAAGATTTACTTGTAATATGAATTGTATGTAAGTAACCTCTGTTCTTTTGTTGTAACGTTTATTTCATAATTAAGTATGCTGGTGATGTTATTGTATGATTTAAATGTACTTTATGCTTATTAGCCTTTTCTTACCTGGAAAATGTTTCATAAAGTTTGTTACGGATAATTTCATGAGAAATGAGTTTGTGGGAACACCATCATGTAAAATACAAGGTGTCAGTACATTATAACTGTGTAAACATTTAGGTATTCTTGGTTTTAGAAATTCAGGAGTTATTTGAAGTTAACAAAGCTTTATGAGACGTAAACCAGGGTTATATCAGACATAAGCTTTATGGTAACCTTATATACCTTTTTTACAGCACAAAACCTAGTTTCAGAGGGTAACTATTTATTATACTGGTCGTTTTATAGGGCTGTTCTCAAACAATGGACAAAATATCAGGTTCTATTGATGAGCCAAAAATGTGTGATATTTTCTTTGTTGAAGTGAATACATTTTATACCCTTACAAAAATATAGTTTGTCTGAAAAAAAAAAAAAAATAGCAAAAAAGAAAAATAACAAAAAGAAAGTAAAATATGATGTTTATTGGAGTTATTCCAGGATATTGAATTTGTATGACTGTTCAGATTACAGTCAGTTATGTTAACACCCATCATGGTAAACCAGTAAGATCTTATTAAGATACATGCATGTAATCTGGAGATTTGTTATGTTAACACCCATCATGATGTCACACCAGTAAGATCTTATTGAGATATATGCATGTGATCTGGAGATTTGTTATGTTAACACCCTTGATGTTACACCAGTAAGATCTTATTGAGATATATGCATGTGGTCTGGAAATTTCCTATGAACCAGATATTTGTCCAGTTTCCAGCTACTGGGTTTTCTGACTGCTGTTTGCCTGCCACTATCTACTAAAAATATATTAACGCTTGTGTGATAAGTATGAGACAAATTCACAAACTCAAAACATTCTACAGGTTTTTTTTTGGAATTTTTTTTTATTTCAATGATTAATTGACAAATAGTTTCAAAATTTGAAACCCGTTATGATTAAAGAGAAAAAATTAAATATAAAAACACAGTAAAATTTCTGATTTGACAAAAGGATTGTAAGTTGAAGCCATTGATAGTACAAACTTGATAGATGTTTTTGAGGATGTGTATTTGTAACCTGCTATGCTATTGACCTTGTCAGTTGTCATGGTGTTGTCCTGACTAAGTGGATTTTAGAAAGCTCCGAGTGTCAAATACAACAGGACAGCTGGTCAGTAGAGGACACAGGTTCCTGTGTCAGTGTCTATAATGTCCATCTGCTGTTACATTGAATTGTCTAAAATACAGGTAGATGCCAAACATTAACATCCATCCCAATATCTATTACATATCTTTTTCCTTCTAATAGCTCAAAACCTGTTAAAAGTCTACAAGGTTAACAAAAATCTTCATTTAATGTGAATAGCTGGTACAGGAGTTCTTCCACTCTTTCCTGTTTATAATTTCAGATAGAAGCTTTGCTTTTAGGGTAATGGGTCAGAGGCTTTTTATGGGAGTTTTTCTATGGAATTTGTATGTAGCTAGAACTTTTCATACATCCAGGTGCTCTATTACTGTAAACATTCTTATTTTAGGAATCTAATTATCTAATATATCCTGTAATTATTGTTGAGTATATGTTTATTTTTCTAAATATTTTTGTTAACACAAATATTCTAAAGTAATAATGTTTACAGTATCTGTAATAGTATTCAAGAGATATTTGCCTACAGTATTATAAAGAGACCCTAAGGAACTGGCATCTATCTTTTGGAGATAGTTTAAATACTCTCCTAAGAAATGATCACCTGTAATATCCAGAGAAGATTGTATTTGTAATATTCTAAGAAGATAGAACCAGTAAATTCTTAATCAGACATAAGTATACATACCTGTACTGTAGAACCAGTAAATTCTTAATCAGACATAAGTATACATACCTGTACTGTAGAACCAGTAAATTCTTAATCAGACATAAGTATACATACCTGTACTGTAGAACCAGACATAAGTATACATACCTGTACTGTAGAACCAGTAAATTCTTAATCAGACATAAGTATACATACCTGTACTGTAGAACCAGTAAATTCTTAATCAGACATAAGTATACATACCTGTACTGTAGAACCAGTAAATTCTTAATCAGACATAAGTATACATACCTGTACTATAGAACCAGACATAAGTATACATACCTGTACTATAGAACCAGACATAAGTATTGATACCTGTACTGTAGAACCAGTAAATTCTTAATCAGACATAAGTATACATACCTGTACTGTAGAACCAGTAAATTCTTAATCAGACATAAGTATACATACCTGTACTATAGAACCAGACATAAGTATACATACCTGTACTATAGAACCAGACATAAGTATACATACCTGTACTATAGAACCAGTAGATTCTTAATCAGACATAAGTATACATACCTGTACTGTAGAACCAGTAAATTCTTAATCAGACATAACTATACATACCTGTACTGTAGAACCAGTAAATTCATAATCAGACATAAGTATACATACCTGTACTGTAGAACCAGTAAATTCTTAATCAGACATAAGTATACATACCTGTACTATAGAACCAGACATAAGTATACATACCTGTACTGTAGAACCTGTACTGTAGAACCAGTAAATTCATAATCAGACATAAGTATACATACCTGTACTGTAGAACCAGTAAATTCTTAATCAGACATAAGTATACATACCTGTACTGTAGAACCAGTAAATTCTTAATCAGACATAAGTATACATACCTGTTCTATAGAACCAGACATAAGTATACATACCTGTACTATAGAACCAGTAAATTCTTAATCAGACATAAGTATACATACCTGTACTATAGAACCAGACATAAGTATACATACCCGTACTATAGAACCAGACATAAGTATACATACCTGTACTATAGAACCAGTAGATTCTTAATCAGACATAAGTATACATACCTGTACTGTAGAACCAGTAAATTCTTAATCAGACATAAGTATACATACCTGTACTATAGAACCAGACATAAGTATACATACCTGTACTATAGAACCAGTAAATTCTTAATCAGACATAAGTATACATACCTGTACTATAGAACCAGACATAAGTATACATACCTGTTCTATAGAACCAGTAGATTCTTAATCAGACATAAGTATACATACCTGTACTACCAGTAAATTCTTAATCAGACATAAGTATACATACCTGTACTATAGAACCAGACATAAGTATACATACCCGTACTGTAGAACCAGTAAATTCTTAATCAGACATAAGTATACATACCTGTTCTATAGAACCAGACATAAGTATACATACCCGTACTATAAAACCAGACATAAGTATACATACCTGTACTATAGAACCAGTAGATTCTTAATCAGACATAAGTATACATACCTGTACTGTAGAACCAGTAAATTCTTAATCAGACATAAGTATACATACCTGTACTATAGAACCAGACATAAGTATACATACCTGTACTGTAGAACCAGTAAATTCTTAATCAGACATAAGTATACATACCTGTACTGTAGAACCAGTAAATTCTTAATCAGACATAAGTATACATACCTGTACTGTAGAACCAGTAAATTCTTAATCAGACATAAGTATACATACCTGTTCTATAGAACCAGACATAAGTATACATACCTGTACTATAGAACCAGACATAAGTATACATACCTGTTCTATAGAACCAGTAAATTCTTAATCAGACATAAGTATACATACCTGTACTATAGAACCAGTAAATTCATAATCAGACATAAGTATACATACCTGTACTAGCTAGACAATTTCACCTGTTTCCATTAGGAGACACAATCTGTATTGTTAACGCCTGTCCATTATATCTGTAATGTAGTCGCTAGATTTCAGTTTAGGGTTAAAAATCTTAACTTATACCTATATGTCTGTAGCTGTTACAAGTACATTTAACCCCACATCAAATTATTTCTACAGGTAAAGTGATTTCATTTTGATTTTAAGTCTGGTGACAGTATATCACTTTGAACCTGAACTAACCACACATTACTAGCCTATTAGTACTCATTGTCACACAAGTTTTGATACTAATTCGCAAAGTCATCTTACACTATTCATAAAATAACTTATTTGATATTAAGTGATCAAATTTAAGTTAAGTAAACTGTTAGACATAACAGCGATGAACATTGTCGGGTTTGGAAATTATGCCGTCAATATTTAATTTAAAAAAAAAATTTGAGTCCAAAGAACAAGTTTGTAAAAATAACACATGTACATGATAAAAGGTAATGCTGAGCTGATCTCTTGCTTGCTGACTAAATATTGATGAAACATTATAAGCCTACCAGCTTTTACCAAATGGTAGGCAGTTCAAATCTAATTTCGTCTGTGGTTCGTCAATTTACTCAAGAAATATATTGATTTTTCTCAATTGCATTCACCAATATCTTGTTATGGATGTTTAAGTTTGAGTCTTGATGCAAAAACAAGAAAATTACAAGACTGCCATCTTAGATTTTGACAATTAAGTCTTGTATTATTTCTTCTAAAGTAATGGATGAGTGCTAATAAGATTCCATATGTAAGTGTCTCTTCGTCCATAACTGGGTGTTTTTTTTTAAATATTTTATGAGAATAAGTGGAGGGTGAGAGAAAGAACATGGCAGCCAGATGTAAGAATTCTTTCTCATCTTCTATTTTAAATATTAGTATTTTAGTCATTAGGTATCCTCACTTTAAGAAGGACAGTTTCAAGCCGAACAGTATTAATTTATGAACGTGTCACCACATGATTCTTGTAATAATGACAGATGACTGTCAGTATAACATATGGACCATTCTGATACAGCACTAATGATAATTATACTATGGTGAGTGTCGAGATCCCTCAGGTAACTAATGCTGATATTTAGCAGAAGCTTAAACTTAAACCCTATTTTTTTGACATTATTTATTTCCTGATTTATAAATCAATGTTGAGTGAATTTAAGTCACTCAGTTGCTGTTTTGATGGTTGATATAAAACACAGTTATATTTTAATACAATACTGTTTTCTTTTTTAGGAGACCTTCCTCCGGTAATGTACCCAAGATCCCAGATCGGCCAAACATGTCTGGCCGACCATTCTAAACATATATCTACACATCGCAGGAGAGGATATGGTTACCTTGGAAACATAGTTTCAGTTCTGTTTCCATGGTGACTTTGCATCATCACAGAGATGCGTTAAGGTGCAATACAGTAGCGCCATCTATATAACTATAGTATATATCAGTATACTAGTTGAATGTACTTAGTGACCTGAGTGTATGGCAGGGTCAAGGTCATTGTGATTTAGAAAAAAAAAGTTAGAGAGTGTGAAGGTCACATATAAAGCACAATGTAAGAGTAGCAATGATAACACAGTGAATGTATACAGAACAAAATGGACATGGTCAGCTTGTCAGGGTCAGAGTTTACAGACTTATCAAAGTACTGGAAAAACAATGTTGAAGTTGACAGCATTGCTGGCAAAGTACTCAAGAATGTTGAACAGATTGTAGCAAGTTATGATCAGAAGTCATACGTCACTTTTACCTGGCCGTCTACAAGGAAATGTAATTGTCATCAGTCCCAGGAGCATCACGTCTCAGAAGTAACACATGTACATATTACTGCATTCTTAGTAAGAAGGTCACAGGTCATATGTCTTACTGGTCAGCTACGTTAGGTGACGTCTACGCGACAGGTCACTAAGTGTTAGTATATGGTTGAATGTTCGATCCTAATGGAGAATAGAGAGAAACAATGTTGGGATGTGTTGATTGCTTTAGATAAAGAATGTTGACATCTAATGACAGTACAATTGTCTGGTACAATTGTTTAGTGGTATATCATTTCTCAGATAATTGTAATCATGTACTTATATAGGTAGTAGAGATTTGTATATATGCACACCTGAGGGAAAATATTTTAAAGATGTAATGCATTTCCTGTTTGTTTACACGACTAGTAGTGTACATGTTATGTAATCTTTCAAGGACACCCCACTGTAATATGTAGATACACGAACTCTGTTTATCATATACTTCCCTGTGTATAAGCAGTAATATTATGGAACTTTATTGAAAAAATGAGAATTACATTGAGCCATGCATTTCGTAAAATTAATTCACACTATATATGATTACGTGTATCAATTATGTGAAAATTTCCTGCGAGGACGTCAGATGCAGGACATCTAGTCACTCTTCTTGGTTTTGGGGCCAAACATTATTAAAGATTAATGGATCAACTTCATAACACTAGAAAAGTAAAACAGGTCAAAGACTAAGGTGTAGTAGTGTGGGTCTGGATCAGAACAGTGGATGATGAACTTTGCATGGAGTTCTGTTTATTGTATGATCAGATCCTTCCCAACAGAAAGAACTCTCCAGATTGGACGTTATTTTGTACCTCCTATGGATCTCCTCCACCTTTTCCCGTATTAGAACCAGAAAACCTAATATCTTTCATAAGTGATCTAGTCCAATCTTTCCCACATTGTAAAATTCTTTACAGATAAAGCCAAAATGCTGCCATTGTGAGTCTGGCCTGACCTTGCCTACATTCTGGGTTGAATTTTGTACAAAGTGCTTGTGTCCTGGTTCTGGCGTTCTCGCATGTCTTGCTTGTGTTCTTTAATATCTAATGCCACTGGTTACCAGAAATGGAGATTAGTCCATTAAGTATCAAATGGACAGCAGGAATCCTGGACACTAGATGTACTTGTTGACCCCGTTATTTTGGAATAAAAAAAATTGTGGTCGAGTGTAGTGATAGATATCTGTACATGTTCCCTATATTTATTATGCAATTATTGTTACGTATTGGGTGTATCACAGCTCACCTTATCTTGTTTTTTTTTTGTTTTGTCATAATTTATCTGTACACAAAGTCATAGAATTTGTATTCTAATCAGTAAGCTGTTGGCCAATCACTCATAGGATCAAATGTTTTAATTAAATCACGGGTAGGTCTGGCTTGTTAATTTGTTTTAATTTTATTTTATTTTAATCAATGTATGATCAGAAGACATCTGATTAACAAACTAAAACTTTCTGTCTGTCCTTTCTTACATTGTTTTACAATTTTTTTCTGCCTCCTCCCCCCTTTTTTTTGTGTTTTAATAAATCTGAAGTTGGCATGACGGTAAATAATGTTGATATTTTGAGAGACATTTGAGATTATCAGACATCCTACATCTGGTGTTTGTTGTTGCCAAGGAAGTTGATTGAACTTGGATTTACCATTTCAACAAAGGAATAAGTTATCCCCCTTCTAAACAGATTTGTGGATCAAACTTTTTGGAAACTTTATATTGTTTACCACTCAATTCATAGTAAACAAATATTGGTCATCAATATCTTCTTTTAATATATGACATAACATTATAATTCAACATTCTCATCGCTAAAAATCCCACCAGAATATCAGTGTCAGACAATATGAGCAAGTGTTCATGTTTATCGCAATTCATATAAAAATTAATTTTCAGTTATTCTAGATGTCAGATTTGAAAAGATAATCTTTTCACATTCATAATAACCAATGAAAAAAAGGTAAATGAACTACTGTAACCGATAAAAAATTTAATCAATTGATTTTGAAGTTTGAAAACAAAACAAGTGTATGTATTTAATTCATGCAGCATCTGGGAAATTAAATGGTGATTTTTTAACATGAAATGACCACCAATATAATTACGTGGAATTCCAGTCCCCTTAAAATCTCGACTGTAGTGACTTTGCAGTGTGAAATCCAAGCTTCTCTAACACAAATTCTGTTGGTGCTAGACATCTGATATTTAAATAAGAAATATAATATCTATGCTATAAGTTTGAAATTCTATCCCAATGATCTAGGATTTGACAGGACAGACAATTAATGTTCCTTTCCCCACAGTTGATTCTGAGTGACTTTCATTGTTTTCATTTTGTGATATGATCATACTTTCAGCACAACTTTCTGTACATTTGTATATGATGTAGATAAGGTTTTGTAAGACGTTGGTAACATGTACATACGATGAAGATGCATTCCATATCATGGAGTTAGAAAGGACAATAATCGTAGACTAGTGTATATTACCATTGCCATGGCAACCCATAATTAGTTATATGGACAGTTTTGTTACATTGAAGACGATGTTGGTTATTAGCACTACATCAACATGACAACCTTAGGGACATGTTTGTCCTTTCATCAAATAACTGTTGCCATGACAGCAGTAGAAATGTACATGCTTGTTGTAGAAAGTTTTGTTGTGTCGCTGTCTGAATGTCTGTTTATCTAAGTTTGTAGCATGAAAGATTCATGTTAGTCATGTCAAGAAATTGTAAAGTTTGTGAAATGAATTTGTGAAAGTTTAAACAAAATTTTACTTTGCCAGCAGCAAATAAAGAAGAAATCATGTAATGTTTCCTTGTGTTTGTTGATTTTTCTTAATATTTTATTTGTGTTAAAACAAACCATATTATGTTACTGTGGAATTGCCAGTTCATCTGTCTTTAACATTTTTTCCTCCAAAGATCTCCTCCCTCACTTTTCAGTTAATACGTTTCAACCTAGGTAGGCACCAAAACATTGAATTGTTTTACAGCATTTTAATCTCCTTTAAAACTTCATAGGCTTTATAACCATTACATGCAATTGTTTTCTTAAATGGCATTTTGATTCAATGATTTCAGATATTTTCTCTTTCAGTTTCTGACCAATCTCCACATTGAATGTTCGTCTGTCCTGGATAACGTCTTGCAATAAATCAAAGAAAAGATGACACATTCAGAATACAGTCACATCAGTTAGATATTTATTCAGCTTTCTCTTGTCTCTTTAACAAAGAAAAAAAAAACCCAAAACAGAAAAAGAAAATAAAACTACAAGCAGTATTCACATTTACCTCGTATATCAAAATGATTTGTTGAAAAAATGTAACTTTGGTGGAGTCTATATATATTTTGCACATTTAAATCAAAAGATAATTGATGTAGAATAGTATTTCTAAGAAATGTCAGATTAAAGGTCATCTTTATCTGAATGAAAATGAAACAATGTCTTAACAAGTTTTTAAGAAACTTTACACTCCAAGGAACCAGACATGCCTGATAGCTGGAGATTTGAATGAATAAGGTTTTTATATCTAAGTTACCTTGAGCCTACCTTTCATAATTAAATGAGGATGAATCAATTAAAACTTTGTCTGTGTTGGGATACTAAAACATTCCTACCTTTATGTCAGTATATTGAAACATTGCTATCTCTGTCAGTATACTGAAACATTCCTATTTCTTTGTCGGTATACTATACAGTATACTGAAACATTCCTATTTCTTTGTCGGTATACTATACAGTATACTGAAACATTCCTATTTCTTTGTCAGTATACTGAAACATTCCTATTTCTTTGTCGGTATACTGAAACATTCCTATTTCTTTGTCGGTATACTATACAGTATACTGAAACATTCCTATTTCTTTGTCAGTATACTGAAACATTCCTATTTCTTTGTCAGTATACTATACAGTATACTGAAACATTCCTATTTCTTTGTCGGTATACTGAAACATTGCTATCTCTGTGTCAGTATACTGAAACATTCCTATTTCTTTGTCGGTATACTATACAGTATACTGAAACATTCCTATTTCTTTGTCGGTATACTATACAGTATACTGAAACATTCCTATTTCTTTGTCGGTATACTGAAACATTCCTATTTCTTTGTCGGTATACTATACAGTATACTGAAACATTCCTATTTCTTTGTCAGTATACTATACAGTATACTGAAACATTCCTATTTCTTTGTCAGTATACTATACAGTATACTGAAACATTCCTATTTCTTTGTCAGTATACTGAAACATTCCTATTTCTTTGTCGGTATACTATACAGTATACTGAAACATTCCTATTTCTTTGTCGGTATACTATACAGTATACTGAAACATTCCTATTTCTTTGTCGGGTATACTGAAACATTCCTATTTCTTTGTCTATTTCTTTGTCGGTATACTGAAACATTCCTATACAGTATATGAAACATTGCTATCTCTGTGTCAGTATACTGAAACATTCCTATTTCTTTGTCGGTATACTATACAGTATACTGAAACATTCCTATTTCTTTGTCGGTATACTATACAGTATACTGAAACATTGCTATCTCTGTGTCAGTATACTGAAACATTCCTATTTCCGGTATTTCAGTATTGTCGGTATACTGAAACATTCCTATTTCTTTGTCAGTATACTGAAACATTCCTATTTCTTTGTCGGTATACTATACAGTATACTGAAACATTCCTATCTCTCAGTCGTATACCAAAACATCCCTACCTTTATGTCAGTATATTGAAACATTGCCATCCCTATGTCAGTATGTTGAAACATTCCTATCACTTTGTCAGTGTACTAAAACATTTATATCTCTGTGTTGGTATACTGAAACATTGCTATCCCTGTGTCAGTATATTGAAACATTATTATCTCTGTGTTGGTATACTACAAGTGTATACAATATTAAAGCACCATTTTCTCACAAAACATTGAAAACTTTGCATGGAATTATGTTTTTGCCAAACACAATGGAAGACAAATGCTTTTTCTTACCAGAAAAAAGGTAAACCTACAGTATTGTTTAAATATTTGAGCACAGAAATGATGCAAAATCTCTAATGATTTTAATTCCAGAAAAATTCTGATCAAAATTCAGTTCAGAATGACATGCATGTGAATTCACAGATGTAAAACATTTCTGTAATGTCTAAAGTCAAGATATCAGTTCATGAGAATTAGAATTCAACCAATATTGGATGATGGAAGTCAGTATATATAAATAACTAAATTTGACAATTAAGCACAGCAAAGTGAAATCAAACTTGTGTAAATTTAAAACAAAGCCATTTCTCACAAACCAGACAAATCTAGCACTAGCCCTTTAAACTTTGTACACACTGTAGTTTGATATGTTCATTATGATATAAATGTATACCAAAACCTCTGATGCCCTTCCTGGGTATTTCACATCTCACACAGTAAAAATAAAGATAAAAATGCCTACCCTTACAGGAATTCAGCCCGAATTGGTTGTATGTGTCGATTCAGTAACCTTAATCAGATAAATCATCAGCAAGGTAAATGTACACCAAAGTTTACTAGACAGCTGTTAGGTCGGTTTGGCTACACTTTAAATCATGTGTACACTTTGTCTCCCTGTACACTTTATACCTCAGCATATCATTTATGTCTTGTCTGATGAGGCGAGTAGACACCAAACTACAGAACATGTCTCTGATTTAAAATATAGTAAATTGTTCTTTTCATGAGTATGTTTTTGGATATTTTGTAATAAAGATTGGTAGCTATTTCTTCAGGTGAGATTAATGGTCAATATTTTAGTCTTCAGACTTAATGGTCACCAAGTTAACGAATCAGGTTGGTAATTCACACCAAATCTTGCTTGAATAACAAAGCACTGAACTATGAGATTCTAAAGCACCTAACATGAATATCAGATATTTGTGGAAGTATCTATATAATTTATTGAGTTTTTACCATAGTTGCTGGTAAGCTTTGAACCACTTTCATGTTTAACAAATCAAGGTTTTTGTCAGGACTTCTCACAAACTAAAGTACTTATCAATATTTCTGATATATTGCTAGCAAACCAGTCCCTTGCTTCTTTATAACGACCCTTAGACCTCAAGTATCTGTCTTAAGTGAACAACCAACAATATGATAGAAATTTCTTTTGTAGGTGTATGCAGAGAGAGGTAAATGTACAAACAAATCTGAGGTATTTGATGTACATATATGTAGCATCATTCAAAGAGTCAGCCTTTCTGCAAAATACCAGCAAACAGCTTGTTTGAAAGGGGATATTTTCACGAGAACAGTTGTAATGTATGTTTATGGTTCTTAGCTATTGATACACGTATGAGAGAGCTGTTGTGATAGAAACGTGTTTCTTGTTTTTACAGCTAATAATAATAATCAAAGTATATAATTCATCCCTTACCTGTTATTGTTAAAAAATAAAAGGTTTTTGGTAGTTTGTCCCCTGTTTTTTCAGAAAAGATGTGTTACTCCCATTAAACATCCTCTTATTTCCCTTAGAGTCATCCCTTATCTGTTATCGTTAAAAAAGAGAAGTTTTTCAGCAGGTTTCCTCTGTTTTTTAGAAAAAATGTGTTACTCCCTTTTAACATCCTCTATCTGACAATTATCTGTATATCGGCTATTTGTTTGTTTATATATGTGGTGAGACTAGACTGGATCAAACACAGATAATTATATACCTGATATACACACACACTGATATTTTGTTTACATTTACACAGCAATCATCCTTAACATAATAAGTGACTAAAACTCCTGTCACTGGTACATAGACGTTAATGCTGAACTTTCAATTAATCATATAAAAATGCATATTTACAAAACATGTTAAAAGCATCATAGTTTATTTTTTGACATCAAATTGGTAATGACGGTTACAAGACGTTAGAAACAAAAACACATTTCTTTAATTTTTGTTATGGTAATAGATTTACTTTGTATTTTTGAGAGGATTGGCAGTCATATCCTTGTAAATAAAACTCAAATCACTGACCCTATGTGCTATGGGCAGTCATATTCTCGTAAATAAAACCCAAATCATTGACCCGACATGCTGTGTCAAACTTCACGAGTTAATGTCTTTTGATATCACAAAATTTTCTAGTAATTTTCTCATTTACTACATTGATTTCTTTGTTGTAAAAAAAAATACTCTGCAGTTGAAATGGTTGTTAGGACCATAAAAGATGTGATTACGAGTACATTTAGGAGCACACAATCCATGGTGTGGGTATCAAAGCTACTGCACTTAATGCAGACAAAATCAATAAATTTAAAGTTGTTCAATGGCACCATAACACATACACAATAACACACAATAACTTGTTTCTCCAACCTGTCGGGAATGTCCGCTAATTAATTACTAAACATTACTAAACAACCTTCGTAAATACTCTACTTAACATTACGAAACATATATTCTATCACGTTAGAATACTTAAGTTCTATATAAATGTAATTTTAGTTATTTTCTGTTGTGATAGTGTCACGTCATGAAGATTTTGTCTGGTGTGATAAATATGCTGCCAAAATATGTGTTTCTGTCACAACTACTGATCAGATTTCTATACATATGGTTTTGTTTCAACTCTATACCACATCAGATTTCAAGAAGTATACTTATTCTAGAAACACATTTCTATAAGCAGTTTGTTAGTATATATATATTCCCTACAACAAGACATTACCAGATAGCAGTAAATTTTATAAAATTTATACTATACTGTTCAACAATTCATATTCATTTGTTTTGTACGAATATATGAAATTCACATTCAACATTTGAAAATCATTCATCCATAAAATCATTCATCCATAAAATCATTGAAGCTTAGATTGCATCCTCCTGGGCAACACGTGAAAATCACACTCACATATTTAAATAAACTTTAAGAAATGTGATTCTCAACTTCAGGCTAGGATAAGAATGCATGCTGGACTCTACAAACTTTTATCTACACACAGAAATACAAACGGATTCAGATCAATAAGCACCAAATTATGATGGCAAGTTTTCAATATCAACGCCATAAACTAAACAATGCAGAATTTTTTTTCCAGAATCTCTAACACAAAGTCTATTGACTTCAGAACACTATGGAATAGAAACAACATATTGTAGGGGCAATCTGTGATTTTGTCAGTATAAAGCATAATACAGAAATAACTAGATATACTTCATAAACTAATTTACTGTGATGTTGTAATTCAGAGATATCTAGATAAATATGTAACACTTTGTTGTGGTGTTGTAATTCAGAGATATCTAGATAAATATGTAACACTTTGTTGTGGTGTTGTAATTCAGAGATATCTAGATAAATATGTAACACTTTGTTGTGGTGTTGTAATTCAGAGATATCTAGATACACTGACAACCTTTTGGGTAAATTCCTATTATGGAATGTCATAATCAAACAATATTGAGAGTAATTTTGTCAGAAGTGAAAGTCATCTTTTATATTAACTTGCCTACATATTTTAAATATGACTAGGTCAAATAGCCTGTTACACAGTAAAGCAGTACTACTTCAGTCCTATCAAACATCAAATTAAGAATGAACAAATGCTACACAAGATATGATCTGATCCACAGTAGACAGAATACACATTTGTCCACTGAATGTTTTTAAGTAATATTTAAAATCTCTGGAACGTTCACCGTTGAGTTGACTAGAATGTTATCAATGTTAAAATGAAGGAAAACAACACATCTTACATAAAGAGCGATGAAAGGCATCGCTATAACAAAGATGTCACAATCTTCTGAATATGAATAGTCAGAATATGAGAGATGACAGTATTACAGACTAGGTGTTGAGAATCCTTAAATTTAGTGTTTAACATTATATGATAGTCTATTTCAGCAATCAAGTTTGCTCATGATGTCTTTATAGCCAATTCCTAAAAACTTCCTTGTCCTCCTCCATGTCAGATGGCTTCAGACTAGAGGTCTCTTGATGTCTTCCTGCTCGTGAGGGTTGTATCCCTCCCCACCATCACCATCCATGTTGTGCATGAAGCCAAGTGGTGTCTGTCCACCAAGTGATGTCTGTCCGGCTGTCCAGCTGTCCACGCTATCTTCTGGTTTGCGATCTATATCTGGGGGAGATCCCCCATGACTGCCTGCAGTACTTCTCAGAGGAGTCGCCTACAATAAAAAGTGATGTGATAGGCTTAGAGATCTATCCCAGGAAACTTATATAGGTATGCAATATGTGCATGTTTATCTGGCTTAGAAATCTATGTTAGAAATCTTACGTATATACAGGTTACCTACTTCCAAATCAATCCTAAGTACCTTATATGGTTATCTTACTTTGCGACCTTAGTCGGAACCTGTTAATCTTTTAACTGGCTTATGAATAACTGAAGAATCTCATATCTTTTTTTTTTAAAAACTTAGAAATTAAACTTTTTTTTATCTCTTCATTAAGTTAACAGTATTCCATCTAAGGAATCTTAGGACTACTTTTCTTTAAAAAAAAATATTCTGTGTTAAAATCCTTTACAAAATTGATACTCGAGTATCAGGTTTAAAATTCAACAAGAAATTAATCCTAAGAATCTTATATAAATTTTTATCTCCACAAGAAATTCCTCTTAGGAAAATGTTTTTATAAAATAATCCAATAAAATTATGACAAATTGGCTTCTCTTTCCCCCCTAATAAACAGAGTATTCATTTACTATGTCTTTAAAAAAATTCATTTTAGCCAAACATAAATATTTAGTGCTAGAAATAAATTTTTAATTCCTCACCAGATCTGCTAAGAAATTTTGTGGATATTTTAATTTATTTACTGCCATGCAAATTTTCCCATCTGATTTTCCAGTGAAAGTTATGAATGCCATGCCCAGTTGCTACATGCACATGTGAACCCTTATTGGCTAGTTAATTAGATATTGGCCCATCACATCACTTTCCATTGTGGCAAAGTTTCAACATGTCACTCATGCCCCATGTTATCACGGTTAGTGATCATATATCCCCTTTTACTGGTTTTAAACTTTACTTCAAACAAACACTTGAACCAGATTACAAAAATTTAGCCAAAAGACATTTTGGGTCTATCATTTTAGAACCAAACTGTCTTCCCATTTCTTTTTATTGAATTTTCCAGTTTTTGCTGCATCCAAAATGAGGCATAATCAATTGATTTAAAAAGTAAAACCTCAATTTAATCAATAGCCATTTGGAAATGTTTGTTTGAAAAGTAAAGTTTAAGTTCCATGTGAGAGAAACCCAACCAAGCATTGTATGATCACACCATGACCAGTTTGTGTAGGTGTTAATACAGGTTAGTATAAAGTAAACGGTTTTAGTCCCATTTCTTTGCAGATCTGTATGAGAAATTAGTAACAGTGTAAAAAGTTTAGTTTGAAATAAACAAATGCTTAGTGGAAACAAAATAAAAGACACAAAAAAAAAAAAAAAAAAAAAAACAAAAACAAAGCAACAAAATTAGAATATCTGAAGACTTACAACTTAATTAAAATGTTAATAAAGCAATAAAAATACTTAGAGAAAATTAAATGAAATAATAGAGAGATTGTTACGCAGATTAGAAACAGGTTTTCATCAGATACAAATGTAACATTATAGGTCATATCACATCTGAGACTACTACGCTCAGTTCACAAATGAACCAATCAAATAGCAGAATTATCTTTATTACCTCCAGTTTGAAGAGTTACAACAGTTCCATCACAATCTGAATGATTCATCAAATCAAACTTGTACATATCAATATATAATAACCACCCAGGATACCTTAGTAAGGAACAACACATTGTTGTTTTCTTTAATAACAGAATGCATCTGTAAGAAAAGATATGAACTAGGCAGACAAATTTTGAGATTACAATTTTTTGGTGTGTGTCTGCTTATAATACTGCTCTCCTGTCAAATAATTGTGCATTTTTAATTTTTTTATCCGGTAGAATTAAGGGTATAGGAGAGAAGGCAATGTCAGGAGCTGAAATGACAAGGTTCTCCATTTCACATATCACCCATTTCAACAATTAACACAAACACATAAGTCTACAAATAATTTTATATTCGGTTTATTATTTCCATAAAATCTGTACACATCTCAATTTCTATGTCTTTGTATGTATGAGTTTATGACATTAAATGACAATTGATATCAATCTGATGGCTAACAAAGAGACAACTTAAAATATTTAGACAGCGCCAGTGTATCAATAATCTTATAACAAGGCCGACTGATACGTGAACCAAGACAACAGAAGTGATATATGTCTCAGGTCCCTCATAACAAGCTTACTGATACATATACCAACCCAACCCACTCAAAACAAGATGGACGATACATGTACCACCCAACTTATATCAAGCTGACCAATATGTTGATCAACCAACTGTTAATACAACACATACCTGTACCAACCCACTTAAAACGAGGTAATGGATACCTGTACCAACCCACTTATAACGAGGTGATGTATACCTGTACCAACCCACCTATAACGAGGTAATGGATACCTGTACCAACCCACTTATAACGAGGTTATGGATACCTGTGCCAACCCACTTAAAACGAGGTAATGGATACCTGTACCAACCCACTTATAACGAGGTAATGGATACCTGTACCAACCCACTTAAAACGAGGTAATGGATACCTGTACCAACCCACTTATAACGAGGTAATGGATACCTGTACCATCCCACTTTTAACGAGGTAATGGATACCTGTACCAACCCACTTATAACGAGGTAATGGATACCTGTACCAACCCACTTATAACGAGGTAATGGATACCTGTACCAACCCACTTAAAACGAGGTAATGTATACCTGTACCAACCCACTTATGAGCTAATGGTTACTTGTACTACCCCACTAATAACAAGTGCAGGGATGCCTCTACCAACCCGGTTATGATGAGTTCATGGATACCTGTACTAACCTGCTTCTAACAAGCTGACTGGTGTATCAACCTGCTTATATTGTCATAACTTCAGAAATATTTAAGATTAAAGACACAATTCAGCGATAACAATTCTTAAGCTTCAAATCAGAAAATTAACAAACTATCTCACTTAATAATTCTTCTAATCTGCATTCTTAATATAATTTGACAAAGTAGACACACCATTAATGCCACACGACCTTCAAAAGTAAAGATCATGTTTAAAGAGTTTTTTTTTTCTTATGATAATTGTCTACAATGTATAGCATTCCAGTAAAAACATTTAATAATAAATATTAGATGAATATATGGACAACCTAGACACTAAACAGTGACAATAGAGAAACAAGTGGTATAACCAATGCTGTTGATATAACAAGATATTAAAATCATCTTCAAAAAGTAGATTTTACAAATCCTAAAAAATAACAAAGATTAATATGAAATAATCTCTTGTTTTTTTTTTGTTTACACACATCACAACAAATATATTGGCCCCATTCAACCCCACATATTTAAATAAATTCTTCCTATAACAGTAAATGGCACAGTCTACTATGGTTTGTGGGGATGAAAGGAGTAGCTACAGGGCAGTGTTTGTCTGTACTGTGTACATTTTTATGTTGTTATTTTTCTTCTGTGATCCGGGCCTTGGGCCCTGGTACTTGAGGTAAATGATAACCTACATCCTAAAGAAAATGTATTTGTTGTAATATTACATATCAAATGATTCTCATCATTAGGAGTTCATTACAAAACGTTAAAACCTTCACATTTATAAACAGACTTGAAAATTGAGCTAGGTGAATGATTAAACTTGGGTGCAAAGCCTTTGATATGGGTGTTTGTGTTGGAGGCTCTTACACAGATATATAAAACAACATCTTGAACATTCTCATGGATTCACAGGGACAGGACAATGTAAGTCAAGCTAATCAGCAACCTTTCTTAAAGGATGGCACACATTTACAAAATTATGTAGATTGGTGATTTCCGAGAAAAAAAAGAAAAGAAAAAATGAAGAAACCATGATTGAACAAAAGTATGGCACAGTGACATAACAAACGATCCTATCAGCACAACCAAAGTCAGCCATGAATAAGTTCAATAAAAACATAATCAAACAAAGAGCTGAAAATTCCAGCAACAGATCAACATCAAATTAATGGAGTTTTTCTATTACATCAAACATTTATCTTTTATTTTAATAAAAATTGAAGTTGAATTAACAACACCTCATTATCTCTTAAAATTGACTGTAACATATAAGAAGTGTTAAAAGCTACACTGAACATACTGAGAGGACACTGGTACATGTACTATAAGCCTATATCGTACACCATCCTGATGACTTTGTCACTACATGTATATTGGATATACGTAACCAATCAACATAAATGTTTAAGCACTAATATTGGAAACACTTCAGACAATTTTCATGGTACACGTGAATAGCTCGGACAAAATAAAATGGAAGTCCCCACAGGGATCTTTATACCACCATCACATGATATTTGTTCCCTAAGCGAGTTTGATCTTCTGTCTCCATTCTTTGGATTTACCTGTTGTACTGACAATACCATCATTAGTTAATGTAATTAACCTGAGAATTGCCTGGACAACATTTTGTGTTATGACAAAAGACTCAGAATAAGTGGGAAAATTCAGAAAGATACATCCATTGTCTTTCAAGAAACAGTAAATTATAAGATTTAAGGAAGGATAGAAGAACAGACAGACAATGGATGATAGCTTTTGGATGAAGGGAGATTTCAGACAAATGGACCAATACATCTAAATCTATTTGCACTGTTATACTAAATATTCTATATTCTTGTGCTATTTTGGCCTTGGACAATGAATTGTAACCTCACTTACTAATTTATGTCTGTAGTGTGATGCATGTACAGACTGAACACTGTCTATATATACCCGAGATGTTATGCTATCCAATGATAAACAGCTGAATATTTAAGGGTGTTTCATTATCAGACGTTAAAAGATTGATTTTCATCTTCAAAGTTACATCAGGATAAGAAATATTTTTATTTCAAGATTCAATTCTGTTTTTAACTTACAAAAGAATTGACTCCCTTTAAATGGCATTTCATCTTTTATTTGTGATTTCAGCTCTTTTTTTGTTTACATGGTACCTCACAGATATTACAACCTGATTGGTGACCCAACAATACTAAATAGTCATATTTGTCAG